ATCCTTTGATTCTTTTAAATCGTCCAGTCAACAATTGCCTTGACCTTAGCGGGATCCACTCGAAGGCCGCGCAACCCAAGTAAAAACACTAAAGTATGATTATTTTAGCACCAAAGATGCATAAAATCGGCATTAGCATACAGCATATTCGTGCGCATGCGCTCGGGCACTTCTCTCAAATAGGCGAGTATCTTTTCCACTCACAAGATATTTGTTTAAACCCCGTCGACGAAGTCGACGCACAAGCCATTCCACGTGGGTTTAAAAGGCATCATCCTCATCGAGAAGAGTAGGCAGCGGACGATTACGACTTGGTCAATCGCCGTTCGGGTACTTGCGATGCGCTTCGAGCCTTGGATGACAATGTCCGTCGTCACCGGCACTGTGACTAGCATCTTTCCGAGGTCACCCCCCCCACTGTGCAGAAGACCTCAAAAGTCTGGAGCACTTTGTGCACCGACTGCCTCGCATTGAGAATTTTCGTGCTCTGTTGAAGCGGCTCCTAGCCGTCGAGCAGGTGAATACGTCACATCGTGCGACGATGGAGCTCCTTGAGCCGTTGGAAACGGAAACTGTTGCACTTCATGCTCAGAACCAGTTACTGGTTCAGCTTCTAGGTGGCCAAGCGCCTGTTGGCTACGCCCCGGCGCCAACGCTTCCGCGTTCACGTGCGCCGTATCCTGATACGGCTAAAGTAAGTCCATATAAGAAACGGGGTGGGTGCGCATCCTATACGGAAGGTTCAGCGTATACGCTAGGCCTCACTGGGCGACGACCTTAAAAATTCCAATAATCGGTGGACGAAGCATTGTCGTAACTGCAGGTCTAGAAAGGTTCTCAACATTTTATAACAGGTCTTCGACCTAAGAAATTTCTACATTTCTTCTGCTTATCCCACCTGCGTATTCTCTCTGCAAGTCATGGCTTTCAACCATCTCATCGCAATCGTCTTCAGTCTGGTAGACAGGAAGTCATCGACACCTTTACAGACAGTGAGTAGGCTGACATTAGCTGGCAGCTCGGCTATTTCACCCCGACCAAGCCCCGAGCTATGGGATGGCAGCGTCAGCGGGATGCGAGGATTGACAGGCCCGTTCACGTAGAACTTCGAGTGGGAGTTTGAGATGCCACTTCGGCAAGACTACCTAGACGTCGTAAACGCTTATGAATAGAAGGATCATGTTGCTTCGTGTCGTCTTGCGTGCCGCGCTCCTCGGCGGTAGTCCGCGAAGCCGAAGGGTCATGAGCCGAGTTCAAGCTATGGCCCTGTGTTGCTGTGGTCGTAGACTCACCCGTGTGAGAAACCACAGAGCTATGAACTGTTCCGTATGTCGCGGGGCTACAATACGAAGGAAGTCGGCGTTGCGCCTTGAGCTTGAAAAAAACAAATCTTAGATGGCGCTCAACGCGCACGTTCACTTCCTCGTGGCTTTGCTGTATGGTAGACAGTGAAAAAAAATTCCGATGCCGCTGCATTCTTCGCTCAGGGTGCTCATCGTTATCTGCAGCGGTTTCTTCGGGGGTGAGCACCACAGGGATGGTCCGAATTGTGGGAACAGGGACCCCTCTTTTTGATCTCAAAGTTGAGCGCGGTACCGAACCATTGGGGTCTCTTGGGGTACCAAAACGCGAGCTCGTAGAGCTTTTTGCTGATCAAGCTCAGCTCCTGTAATGGCCAGACGTTCAACTACGTGGACGTCCAACGATCGAGTGGTCGCGTCTTTCGCTACAATAGCGGGATCCGCCGAGTAGAAGCCGTATTCTACATGAGGGTGTAAGAGAACACGTGGATACGAGCGCAGCAGAGCCGCCCTATGAGCAGCTTTCAATTTCTGCTCCTGTGCCTCGTCGAGGCGATGGTAACAATACCACTTCCCCGGTAGCCGAGATGTCGAGGAACGGTCATGGTGTCCGCAGGGTGTAAGCTGGGCTCACGTCTGCTGTTGGCGCACTTCATCTTCCTCGTCATCCCATGCTGAAAGGAGTATCCACTCGTAGCCGACTTCCTCCAACTCCTCGACGAGAAAATTTGTCGCTCGGGGCGGTCGCGGTGTGTTGCGCTCAGTCGTCAATCGCTTGGGATGTGCTTCCCGTGAAGCTGCGGAAATACTGTCCGGATGTGCACCCCGAGCAAAAGGAGAAGAAGGGCATTGCCCGCGGGCGCCCTTGCTACCAGCTAGGCTGGGAGCTTTGCGTGTCGAAGACACATAGGCTCACAGAGCGGAAAATGTTCAAAGATGTTTTCAAAACGTCGTATAGGTGTCTCAGACACGCGAGCCTCGTATGAGACGACCGTTAAATGTAAATTGTGGATATTCACAATCTAAATAGGGGGGAGTGGAACGAGGTTTCACGTGCCCTTGTAAGAAAGTGCGCTTGTGCGACCGTACATAGGTGTGTATTACACAGTTAGTGTAATAACACAGTGGTGTGG